GGCCCTGGTGTTTGCAGTGAGAGAGATCAACAAGGATCTGGTTCTCCTCCCCAACATCACTCTGGGCTTCCACATGTATGACAATGCCTATTGGAGGAAGAGGGTTTCTCTGATCAGCCTCTTTCTCCTCTCCACACGTCACCAGATGGTTCCAGGTTATAAATGTGACCAGGAGGACACCCTGCTCTCTGTCATTGGAGGAGACAATCCCAAATTATCAATGCAGATGTCCTCCATCTTCAGCATCTTCAAGGTCCCACAGGTAAGGGGGATCCTTTAGATATAGTTATGAAGTAGACAGACTACAGAAGCACACACAGAAGTCCAAGATGACACCAAAAGGAAGGGGGAAACATCAATAGCATGTGACTTGGACAATTAATGCTATAGTTGGATTCATTTTTGTATTTCATGTGTCAAGCTATATTTTATATAACCACTGAGAGACACATAGTGCAATATTTTTGTACTTGCCAAGTCCTTCGAAACTTATTACTCATTAAATGGTAGCCAGTCTTCCATTGCAGTTTAATTCGTACACAAATTGTTTGTTTCCTTAGATTCTGACATGTCACAACAATGGAAAATCTGTTAATTGTTGGTTCTTCCTCTAAGAGAAACAGAAAGTAATATGTCTGTACCTGCCAGAAGGAATTCCTTCCTAAATTATTACTCATAAAAGACTTACTCCTCTTTCACTGCAGCTTATTCCCTGTACCAGATTTATGGTTTGTTTCCTAGGATTCTGACATGTCACAACCAGGGAAAATATGTTCATTGCTGGCTCTTCCTAAGAAAGGAAGAAGCTTATCATTCAAAATGACTCAGCTTGACTGATGGGGTCAATAAACTGCAGAATGGGGACCCTTAAGGTCACCATCAATCTTTACTTTTGTCTTCTAAAGAAGATTCTCACTTTTTCCAGCTCAGTATTGGCTTTGAGCTCATTCAGGGAGACCGAAGAGTTTATCCTTCCTCCTTCCGGATTAATCCCAAGGAATTGCCACTATTTGTGGGTTTAGTCCAAGTGCTTCTGTATTTCCAGTGGAACTGGGTTGGGTTTATTGCCTCTGAAGAGAACGGAGAACAGTTCATCTCAACTCTGAGGCCAATGCTCTTGGAGAAGGAGATCTGCTTGGCCTTCACTCAAATGGTGAAACATGATGTTTCTGATGCGGAAGTGCAAAAATTCACTTTACATTCAAAAATTTGGGCTAATATTGAAGTCGTTCTTTCCTTTGGAGAATCTGAAATTGTTAAAAAATTTCTTTGGGCTGTCAACTTTTATATATTTAATAAAAGGAGACCATGTGAGAAAGTTTGGATCCTAACTTCCTATTGGAAACCACATGCAAATGATTTTCGACATAATTGGCATGCTTTAAAGAACTTGCGTGGGTCTCTGCATTTTAGGGAGCACAGCAGAGATATCTCAGAATTCAGCCATTTCCTCCTCTCTTTAGACCCTTTGAACCCACAAGGAGATATGATCCTCCCATTGTGGTGGGAAAAGGTCTTTGACTGTGAGTTCCACAAACCAGGTCACTATTTTATAAAATGGAAAAAATACTGTACAGGAAAAGAGAATTTAAGGAATCTGCCCACCTACATGTTTCAAACAAAGATGACAGGTGAAAGTTACAATGTCTACAATGCCATTTATGCTTTGGCAACCGTGTTACATGCAATGCATGGATCTGGATCACAACCAGCCCTGAGAAAACTTGGAAAGAGAATATCAACTGTTCAATCCTGGCAGGTAATCTCTGTCACTTTTTATTCAGTTCATAGAGTGGAAACTTCCCATATGTATTACTTGAAATATTCATGAAATATATGTATGCTTCTATATTAATATATTTCAGAACAAATTACAACAATATATAATCTGAAATTAATATAATAGGTTGAAAATGGTTAGAAGGGGGTGGGTTGCATTGGTTTTTTGGCAGCCAATCACACTGCCTGCTTTTATTTAAGTGATTGTCCTGTAAGGACTTCAAGATCCCTGTTGTAGTTACTATTATTGAGCTGGTTACCACCATTTTTATACCTACTGTATGCAACAGCCTTATTCTTGTCTAAATGTAGTACCTTACACCATTAAATGTTATTTGTCAGATAGGGGCCTTTGTTCAAGTCTGTCTTGATTCTTCTGTATCCTGAGCATTTCTTCTGGAGTGTTGGCTATTCTTGCCAGCAAATTTGATGTGTTCTCCTTCTATCCTCTCTTCTAAAACATTGATGAAGGTACTGAAGAGTACTGGCCCTAAGACAGTGCCTTGGAGAGTCCCACTGCATACTTCCCAACATGTAAAGACTACAAGTTACGTATAGTTGGTCAACTGATTGCGAAGATATGGTTCAAAATTTCTAAGTTTGCATCTACCAGTTCCTTCAGAACCTTGTGGTATAATCCATCTGATCCTGGTCGTTTGATCTTGTCTAGAGTGGATCGGTCTTCTCTTACCATTTTCTAATACATTTCTAATCTGCATTTTACAGTATTTCCTACATACCTTATTTAACTGATTAGCAAAAAGTTTATCTATTTCCGTTGTGTGGTTGAATGGCCTGCAGTATACGCCAATGCAATGTTATTCTTTTTTTCCCTTTTATATTGACCCAAATGCATTCATGATAGTTTTCATTCTTGTTCTGCTCTATTTCTGTAGAGATGTGCCTATTTCTTATATATGGCGCAACTCCACTTACTCATTTATTAGGTCTGTTCATTTTAAGCAATTTAAATCCCTCTAGTTGAATATTCCATTCAAAGGTTTCATCCCACCAAGTTTCTGTAATGACAACTATCTCATACCTCCCCTCATGTACTTGGAATTCTAGATCACCATTTTTATTCCTCATACATTGTACATTGCTGTATAGCTGGGGTGGGTTCTACTTTCCTTTACTACCAGTTCACAACGGGGCCACGCATGCACAGAAGCGTTTTGATGACATCAGGGTCAGTGGGCGGAGCCTCCTGCAATTTTACTACTGGTTCTATAGAACTGGTGCGAAGCGGGGGCACCCCACCACTGTTGTATAGGCATTTGAGTCCTTTTTGACTGACCCTGTGCTTGGTTTCTACATAATCTGTTTTGCTGTCTGAGAAGCCACAAAGTAGTAGAAGCCATGATGCCTCATGTGTGGCTTTCAACCAATTACTCCAATATTTGAAGATCTCTTTTGTTTCAGCTTCTTCCTTACTTGATGAATGTCCAGTTCAACAATGGTGTTGGAGAGGAAGTCTCCTTCTCAGAAAAAGGACTGGGATCTGCTCGTTATGACCTTCTCAATTGGGTTCGCCTCCCCAATCAATCAATTGTCCTTCTGAGAGTTGGGCAAATAAATCCTGGGGCTCCCCCAGGTCAGGATGTCACCATTCACTCTGGTGCAATTGTCTGGCCTACAAAGGTGAGCTGGAAGATTCATTGTCTCCTGGGGATGCAGAAAATAGTACTATTGAATCAGAAAACAGGAAAGCATAACATTTGGTGAAAATGTGCTTTGCATGTAAGACATCTGGGGTATGATTTGTGTCATGATTGGGAAGAACTTTATATAATCCAGTTGGCCATTAGAGCAGGCAACTGTGATTTATCAGGACCATTTCCATTGTAGGATCCAACACAGGACTCAAACACAATAATTAAGGCTCATTGCAATGGATTTTTTTTTAAATTTAATAGTATGCACTGATACTGTATAGTGTCACTGAACTGAATCCCCCAGGAGCTGTTCCGGATTTCTGATAGATCCTGGTGAACCATATCTGAAGATAGACATGTGATGTGGAAATGGATAAATGAAGCATGTCCAGGTTTTTTTTGGTCATCTCAAGCATTTCTCTTTTCTTTTTAGAAGGTGCCATTTGCCAGGTGTGGCATGAAGAGGTGCCAGGCAGGAGAGAGGAAAAGTGTCCCAGAGGGTGAACAGGTTTGCTGCTACCTATGTATCCCTTGTTCAGATGGGAGCATTTCTGATCTGACAGGTAGAGCATATAGACCTTCAAATATACACCTTCCAGAATCAGTGAACCATTCTGTGAATCAAAATATTGATTTCTTTTTATCATTGTTCATAGCACTGATAGGCTTCAAAGTTTCAGGATACAGAGATTTTCCCTTAAATCACTCCTTTCCCTTTTCAGAATTCTTGGTGCCCAATTCTATATCCTTCTCGTTGTAACTAATTTCTCTATAAATCACTTTGGATCAATAAAAGAGAACATTCCCTCCTGTGATATTCAATGCACTTTTTTATGTCTTCCTCTCTTGCATTGTGGACATTCTCAGCACACACGATAACGTAATGGACACACAAACACAAAAAAGAGAGCAAGATTTCTGGCTGATAGATATATCAGTCTTTTTGCAGTTCCAGTATGAAGTGGTTTACTATAGTCATGCAAGTGTCCAGTGAATAGACAGGGCCTTTTTTCCACAGCAAATTGAGCAGGCCAGCTGGGGATGAATAGATCCATGTCTCTGAGTAAACTAACATAGCATCATTAATAAAGAAGGAGGCTTAGCCTTTGTTTGATCCACCATGAAATGCACCGTAGGTCATTCCATCACTTCTTTTGGGGGTTGACCATAGCATAAAGGGGACACTCATGTTACCCCTGAGGGTGAGATAATGCTAATTACAGATGACTCTTAAATCCTTACATTAAGACTCTTCATTTCAGATGCAGCCCAATGTGATCCTTGCCCGGAAGATCAATACCCCAACAAGGATAAGGTCCACTGCATTGCCAAGAAGATCCACTTCCTTGCCTATCAAGACCCCCTGGGATATGCTTTAACTTCTTTAGCTCTTTTCTTTTCTCTGATCACAACTGCTATCCTGGTGATTTTCCATAAGCATCATGACACACCAATTGTCAAGGCCAACAACAGAGATCTCACCTACATCCTCCTGTTCTCCCTCCTGCTCTGCTTCCTCTGCTCTTTCCTCTTCATCGGTCGACCCAGGAAGCTCACCTGTCTCTTCCAACAAACTGCCTTTGCCATTCTTTTTTCTCTTGCGGTTTCCTCTGTCTTGGCAAAAACTGTCATGGTGGTTTTGGCCTTCATGGCCACCAAACCAGGGAACCGGACAAGGAAATTCTTAGGAAAACGATTGACCTACTCCATTGTCTTAGGCTGTCCCCTGATCCAAGCAGTTCTTTGTGCCACCTGGCTTGCAAATTCTCCTCCTTTTCTCAGCATGGATTTCCACTCGTTGGTCAGAGAGACCATCATAGAATGTAAGGAAGGTTCAATTTCAATGTTTTATGCTGTCCTTGCCTACCTTGGTTTCCTGGCTCTTATGAGTTTCTCAGTAGCCTTTCTGGCTAGAAAATTGCCTGACAGCTTTAATGAAGCCAAGTTCATTACTTTCAGCATGCTGGTCTTTTGCAGTGTTTGGATCAGCTTCCTCCCCACCTACCTGAGCACTAAAGGAAAGTTCATGGTGGCCGTGGAGATCTTCTCCATCTTGGCCTCTGGGGCTGGTCTCTTGGCTTGTATCTTTTTCCCCAAATGCTTCATTATCCTATTCAGGCCCCATCTGAATCGTAAAGAGAATATCATGAGGCAGAAGAATTGCTGATTTATGTGGAGATTGGGCACTTTGATTTTGGGATATTTTTGTATTCAATATGATTTCTAAAATAAATCATGAAATGCAAGGAAATGTTGTCCATTAAATAATTGTAAATAACTTTATGTGACTAATCACAAAATATTTTTGATCAGGAACAATCACCAATCTTTTTATTCTTCATTCTTTCTTGTTGCATCCAGTGAGACCCCAGTAATCAAGATAGAAGTAAAATTTTGTATGAAATCACATGTGGATATTAGCTCCCAACAGGACAGTTCCTCACTTTATTCATTTTAATCCAAAGAGTCTTTAAAGTTTTGCTGGTTGTGTTCATTATCCATGTTGATAAGCATGTTCCCTAAGGATGTTCTGAATAAGACACTGGAATGAATGAATGAATGCATGAATGCATGCAGAAAGAAAGTGTCAGATATAAATGCCTTATTCTCTAATGTGTAAATAGTGTACGAACAGGGTATCAGGGGTTAACTTATTCTTCACTTCTTAATGTATTCATAATTCACCACTCCCACATATAGCTCCACCCATTGTATATATAAGGAGCTACCCCACACCCTTTTCCTTGCTTCTATCTGTGAATATTCAGTGAATATAGAATGCCTATTGTAAATAAAAGAATATATAGTTAAACATTTAACTCTTGCTAATTTTATTGAGTCTGATCCTGAAAATATTGCAACAAGCTGGTAGCAGAGGATGGTTAATTGACTTAATAAAAACTTAAAAATGTCTAAGAAAGATAGGCCCAACACCAGGGCCTACAGCAAAGAAATGGAAACAGAACAAGAAATAATCAACGAATCAGCAAACGCAATTTCGAGAGAACCCGAAGAATACACCACTGAAGATGAAGAAATAATAGATGAAAATGATGACCAGGAGGAAATCGAAATAGAGAATAACGAACTCAGGTCAGAGATATTAAAACTATTAAAGAGCCAGAAGAATGATGAAAGCCTCATCGCGAACCTCCAAGATATGCTGAAGAACAGCGGAGCAGCGAGAGAGAAAAACATCACTAATGAAAAGTCTAAAGACCCAAAAATAGTGAGTGATATGATTGCGGAGAAAATCATTACAAAGAAGAAAAACGGTGATCCCGCGCGAAAATTTGAATGGCAGCCATCTTGGTTTCAACAGGCCTCCAAGGTGAGCGAAGCAGAGCCAATCAGCAAGCTCAATTCAAAATTTCTGGCGCGAAAAACGTTATCAGACAACGAAAACGAAAAAGAAGATTCAAACACCTCAGAAGAATCAGAACCAGAAAGTGAAGACGATTCAACAAAACACCAAATAAAATCAGCAATGAAAACGCTTTTTGCTGCATTTGGGCCAAAACTGAAAATTACTAAAAAGATGCCGAAGAAGCGAGCGAGCAAGCCAATGCCTCAAGACCTGCCCGCTCCCATCCTGACTACGAGAGCGCTGACGCCCGAACCCAGAGAGCCCTGCCGATACCGCCCTACGCCGCAGACCGAAGCAAGCACCAACGCCCTCAATAGAAGAGGAAGAGCAGCCACCGTCGTCAGGACTCCCAAAGTCGAACCAGAGACCGACTCGTCTGAAGAGGAGCAGAGCGAGCGAGCCGCAATGGGGAGAACCTTCCACGACGACGCCAAAGAAGAAATGGACAACGCGCATGCGCGAAACTACGCAGACGGTCCGGGAAGACATGAACTGGAGAGAAGACCATGCAGACTCGTAGCGAGCATCCCCACGCCGTTTTGCAATTTTCTACATTTACGAGACCACGGACTACCTCAGGTTGTAAGTAATGGACCCAATAATGTCGGAAATTTACCCAGTGACTTCCCAAAGCTAAGGGTTGATGGCATTAATTTGCAAGAATGGTATCAACAGCTCCAGGTTGTCTTTATGAAGGAAAACTTACTGTTTTTTATCACTAGTCCCCCAAAAAGACCTTGGACTCTAAAAATAGATTGTTTACACCATAGAGCTTTTTTCTTAATAATATCTAGTGTGTCTCCTGCAATGTATCACAGCATTAAGCCAAATCTGACTGTTTCAGAAATTATTCAATGCATGTTTAGTTTGTTTCACAGTGACAGTGTAGCTACCACCACAAGGATGTCTAAAGATTTCTTTTCGTCTAGGGTAAAACCAGGGGTTTCCATAAGTGAGCATTTAATATCTTTGAACAAAATAAGAGCTGAACTGCATTTGAGGGGGGAGGTGATTTCAGACCAAACAATGAAAAGTGTTATTATCAACTCACTTGATCCATCATGGGACAATTTTATGTCACATTTAGACACAATCAATCTAGGATATTTATCCATAGAAAGTCTGTCCAACAAATTGATAACAGAAGATAATTCAAGAAGGAATCGTTCTAACAATCACACAGAACACAAACCATATAGGAAAGTAGCTTTCCAAGAAAAATATAATGAAACATTTAAATGTCATAATTGTGGATCCAGGGAACACAATAGAAGAGATTGCCCAAAATTTTTAAAAGAAAGATATAGATCAGAATACAGAAACAAATACGATTATAGACAGCCTTCCATAGAAAGGCATAGATATAGGAGCCCACCAAATCACAGAGAGAATAGAGGGGGCAGAGACAATTCAAAGGATAGAAAATCTGGTTCACTGAATGGGTTAAATAAACAAGACAACACTAACACACAGCAAAGTGAGAACAATAATTGGCTTATTGATTCTGGAGCAACTAATCACACCACTAATAACAAAAATATATTGTCTTCATTTGCAGAAGATAAATTTGTAATTAAGGTAGCTAACCAAGAAAAGGTTCAAGTATTAGGTAGAGGAAATGTAACCTTGCCTGGTCTAGGAAAAATAGAGGGGGTATTACTAATACCTGAAATACCTCAAAACATATTAAGTGCCATAAAACTAAGCAGAGATTCTGACATTAACATTGTCTTTTCAAAAGGAAAGGCAACTTTGGAAAAGAATAAAATAAATATAGGCACTGTGATGATTAAAGGAGGCCTACCTCATCTGATAACAAAAGAAAAATGGTTACATAACATTGATTCAAATATGGAAGATTGTATTGAAATAGATGATGAGAATATTAGCAACAGTGACAATGATGAATGTAAAATATCTCATGATCACATAGATGCACACAATGATAAGAAACCAAAAATAGGTAAACCAATTCATGATGAGTGTGCTCACATCTTACATAGGAAGTTAGGACATGCCAGTTTTCCTGTAGTACAAAAAATGACTGAACACGCAGAAGGTGTTAAAATAAAAAATTGTGAAAATTATCTGGAATGCTCAGTATGTAAATCTACAAAACTAAAAACTAGTCCCAGGCCAAGAAAATCTACTAGATCAACTAACAAAATTTTTGATTTAGTACACATGGACTTAGTTGGTCCATTAACTCCATCAATCACTTATAGAAAACGTTACTTCCTGACAATAGTAGACGATTATAGCCGCTATGGGTTTGTTTATACATTGAAACACAAAGATGAAACTTTTCAAAAATTTAAAGAATTTTACAAACGCATAGAAACACAACACAATATCAAAATAAAACAAATCATGACATATAGGGGATGTGAGTTCATGTCTAAAGAATTCTCCCAATGGCTAAAAGACAAAGGAATGTTACATTACACATCTAGTCCATTTTCTGCGTTCCAGAACGGGATTGCAGAGAGGAAAAATTCAACATTACAAACCATGATTAGATGCACATTGGAAGATGCTGGCTTAAGCAAACAATTCTGGTCAGAAGCCTTACATTATTCAAATTACACACAAAATAGAACCTGGTCCAGCATTGTAAATAAAACGCCATATGAAGTAATGTATAATAGGAAACCAAAATTAGCACACATGCATATATTTGGAGTCACTGCAGACGTACACATACCTAAGCAATTAAGAAGAAAGGGAGAAAACGTGTCCAGAAGACTCAGATTTATGGGATATGAGACTGGCACTAAAGGGTACAGATTCATTGATAGTAATAACAAATTTATAGTCTCCAGAACAGCTGTGTTCCATGAACAGGCCAACTGGTCTAAATTACATCTTAATGAAATATTCCCAAATAAATATAAAGATACAAAATCTCATGAGAAAGGGACTATAGAAAAGCAAAATATCAACAAATATAAAAACAAAACCAAGACTTGGACAAATAGCCAATACAAAATAAAGACAGACACACTAACAAAAAAGGAAGCAAGATATTTGCATGATAACGATAGTAAACCCGAAAAAATCATTAGAAACACCAGAAATCAAATGCCAAATAAATACAAGGATTATGTAATGCATATGGATGGTGAACCAACAACACCTAATACATATGAGGAAGTGCTAAAACTTCCTCGCGAAGAAAAAGAAAAATGGGAATTAGCAATGAAGAAAGAGATGGAAAGTTTACAAGGATTAAATGTATTTACACCTGCAATTGCACCTAAAGATAAAACAATTATTGGTACCAGGTGGATATATAAAATTAAGAATTTAGAGGGAGGCAATACTCTATACAAAGCTAGATTAGTTGCACAAGGTTATGCACAGAAATATCCGGAGGACTATACTGACACGTATTCCCCCACTGTAAGAACAGAGAGTGTCAAAACAGCTCTAGTGGTAGCATCAGCACTCAATCTTGATGTATTCCAATATGACATACAGACTGCGTACCTACACGCAAAACTAGATAAGGAAATATACGTAAGAGCACCTCACAGTCAATACACAAACAGAAATGAGACTTGGTTGTTAAACAAGAGTTTATACGGGCTAAAACAATCTGGTAAACGATGGTATGATTGTTTAGTAAAAGTACTTAAGACCATGGACTTCAACGCTACCACTGCTGATAATTGTTTCTTTGTCAAGAGGGGTGATGATTACATTGAATTTGTATTGATTTATGTGGATGACATTTTATACATAGGAAAACATAAAGAGAGAAGAGAAACTTTTGTAACTAAAATAAATGAGCATTTCTCGTTGAAATCTTTAGGCAAGGTAAACAAATACCTTGGTGTCCAAATTAATAAGACTAGAAGGGGATTCAAACTTACCCAGAGAGATAAGATCATAGAACTTTTAAATAAATGCAATTTAAACAATGCCAAACCTTGTGATACTCCTATGCAAACTGATTTTCTAAGAAATACTGATGAATCTTCCCCCGAATTCAAGGACAACACATTTTATAGATCAATCATAGGTTCACTCCTTTATATATCTAATTGGACTAGACCAGATATCGCTTTACCACTCAATTTATTATCCAGGCATGTCAGCAAACCAACAATGTATCACTGGGAAGCTGTTAAAAGAATTTTAAGATATCTAAAAAGTACACTAGACTTTTGTTTAATGTTAGAACCTAATGATAATAAAGAACCAAAGCTTACGTGTTATGCAGATGCAGACTGGGCTGGAGACATCTCATGCAGAAAAAGTACATCTGGTTATGTATTTCTCTTAAATGACTGTCCAGTTTACTGGTACACTGGTAAACAAGAACTAGTGGCCACTTCAACGACAGAAGCGGAATATGTTTGTTTATCCAAAGCCGCAAATAACCTTGTATGGTTTAATGATTTAATTTCAGATGTTTGAAAAAAACCTGCTTTGCCTTTTGTTATGCATGAAGACAATAAAGCAGCCATTGAAATATCTAGATCTGATGCCATTGGACAAAGGTCCAGACATATAGATATAAAATTTAAACATGTGAGACAATTATCTCAGGATGGATTTATTAAAGCAGTGCATTGCGATACTTCAGAACAATTAGCTGACATATTGACAAAGCCTTTACCTTCTAAGCAGCACAAATATTTAACCTCTAAGTTGTATGTTTTGTATTGTCCTGAATCTGAGTGTAACTGGTGCTGCATAACGAATCGGCATTTAGAGGGGGATTTGTCAGATATAAATGCCTTATTCTCTAATGTGTAAATAGTGTACGAACAGGGTATCAGGGGTTAACTTATTCTTCACTTCTTAATGTATTCATAATTCACCACTCCCACATATAGCTCCACCCATTGTATATATAAGGAGCTACCCCACACCCTTTTCCTTGCTTCTATCTGTGAATATTCAGTGAATATAGAATGCCTATTGTAAATAAAAGAATATATAATTAAACATTTAACTCTTGCTAATTTTATTGAGTCTGATCCTGAAAATATTGCAACAGAAAGAAAGGAAGGAAGGAAATGGAAAGGGGTGGAGGGAATGGAGAAACAGGAAGGGAGGAGGGAAGAAGGAAGGGAGGAAGGAAGGAGGGAGGGAGGGAGAGGGAGGGAGGGATAGAAGGAGAGAGGAAGGGGAGGGAGGGATAGAAGGAAGGAAGGAAGGAAGGAAAGATCAAGTTGGAGGAATGGGAAATTGTATAATTACTTGGAAACTTAAGTGAATGTTAGCAAAGAATACAATTAGATATTGACCATATCAGTAAGAGAAAATCCAAATTATTTTATTTTGTATTTTAATTTCCCATATACAGAATATACCAAAAATCATTTCCCTTATAATTTGTGTCATGGAATTTACATAACAAATTATCTACGGGGCCTGACTTTGGAACTGCATACAAACCGACACACAGAAACACACACAATAAGACACACTGTGCATGTGGCATCCATATTTCTATTCTGTTTACATGGTTACCTCTGTCTGAGTATTTGTTTTCTTCACAGAGTTTTAAAACATATGCAGCTTCCCCACATAAATTGAATGATTAGGCTCCCCACTTCAGTTGCAACACATCCTCCTCCTCTGCTAGACAGAACAGGTAGACTTTTTCCACTTTCCTGAAGCTCAAGAGAGACTAACCCGATTGAATCTCTATTTGGAGATAAAGGCCAAGAGTGGCCCCTGAAACTGTGTATCTCTTATGTGGCAAACATCAATTCTCAGTTGAGCGCAATCAATTAAAACAAATTGAGATATAGAGACATAATGCCACAGGCTGTTATCATAGTACATCCCATGGATGTGCAATCATTTTTTAAAAAAACTTTTGGTATCTGGCATTCTGCTTCCTCCACTTGTTTTCCTCCCTGCAATATTGTTTTATTGCTTTATTCCTCACTTTGGGTTTCTGAAGGAAAACCGGCACAGGAAGTAAGTTGAAATCCATGACTTATAGTAACTCAAAATCCCTGACCAATCAATACGTATGCTTACATTCTCTGCATCGGTCTCCATTGCCTTTCTTAGATGTATAAATATCACTGTATCCTTTAGTTGGGTGAGTTCTCCCTCAATATTTGGAGTGTTGGAAGAAATGTCCATCTGGGTTCAGTTCCAAGTGGGAAGAAAGACACTGGAAACATGGAGGCTGATTGAAAAGATGGTTTAATGGTGGACAGGACCACATGGTTTGAGGTCCTGGGCAATCAAGCACATAGGAGAGAGAGAGAGAGAGAGAGGGAGGGAGGGAGGGAGGGAGGGAGGGAGGGGGAGAGAGAGAGAGAGAGAGAGAGAGAGAGAGAGAGAGAGAGAGAGAGAGAGAGAGAGAGAGAGAGAGAGAGAGAGAGAGAGAGAGAGAGAGATATTTATACCCTCTCTTGGGCTTTGAATTTGAGCTTCCTGTTCCTTGGCAAGCTATTGCCTGCTGTAGGGGTCATAGCTAATCTTGTAGGTTTTCTGAGTCAAGCTTGGTTGAACTGTGCTGGGTGATACAATAAAGGGGCTTTAGGCAGTTCGTATTATGGCTGAGTGCTAATCCTACCTTTGTTGGATCTTGGGTGAGGGTATTTGCTTATGAATAGACCTAACTATCTCTTTATCTCTTAAATGTTGACATCTGCTGTGGGCTATTGAGGAGGGTGGGGTATATTAAGGGTGAGTCTGCTTCCTGCTTTAAAAAAACATGTTTCTCCATTTCTCATCCGGGGAAATATTCCTAGAATATTTCATTCTTCTAGAAGAGGGGTTGGTGGAGGGAGCTCTGCCAGCACATGCTGGTTAATATATACTTGATTTTTTTTTTAATTTGATTTATATGCCGCCCTTCTCCGGAGACTCAGGGCGGCTTACAATGCGTTAAGCAATAGCCTTCATCCTTTTGTATATTTTATACAAAGTCAGCTTATTGCCCCCACAAACTGGGTCCTCATTTCACCTTTCTTAGAAAGGATGGAAGGCTGAGTCAACCTTGAGCCTTGGAGAGATTCGAACCAGCAGAAATTGCAGGCAGCTGTGTTAATACAGGGTGTGTAGACCACTGTACTATCAAGGCTCTTTTTTATTTTGGATGCTCTGTTTGATTCCACACCATGCATCCATTCTTGTAACCCCCACCCACTCCAGAGGTTTATGATGAGTGATAGTAAATTGTCACATCACAAGACTCTCAAGTTCAGCTGTTCTGTGGATTAGCAACAAGAGACATAAAAGTGTTTTTCCCTTTCTGGTGAAGAAACAAAATGGAGGGCTGTTCCTTGCAATTATCAGAAGAACAGCAATTCTTAATATATCCCCTGTGGATTTCAAGCGACAAAAAAGATAAAACCTGCTTTCAAAAATATGCTTGGAGTTCTCCAGGTGGGGGCAGGCAATGCCACATCACCTTGTCTTGCAAAGAACTAAGTCCTGGGTTTGAAGAGACTCAACTGCCTTTCATTTTCTCTTTAGTCACAGCCCAAACACAGGTAAGAGGAAGCATATTTGTTATACCCTGTTTCCCTGAAAATAAGACCTCCCCTGATAACAAGCCCAACCGGGCTTTTGAGCGCATGTGCTAAAATAAGCCTCCCCCACCAAAAAAAATAAACCCTCCCCAAAAATATTTAAATACAGAGCTGGAAATCAGGTAAGACGGCAAGAGGATCCCCAACTTGCTCCACACGCCCCAAAATAAGACCAAGCTCTTATTTCGGAGTTCAAAATCCTCTCAGTCTTATTTCGGGGTTCCCACCCTCTCAGTTTTTAATTGAATTCGGTTTTAATTGGGTTGTTTTAAATCCGGGCCAAAATTATTTAATTGTTTTTTTAAAATGTTTTTAAATTTTATATGCTATGTTTTATCCTGGCTGTACACCGCCCTGAGTCCCGCAGGTGAAGGGCGGTATAGAAATAAAATAAAATAAATAAATAAATAAAAATATATAAGACAGGGTCTTATTTTCAGGGAAACACAGTATTTGCCCTGAAGCTCTACAGGTGGCATGCCCTGTGTTTATCCTGTAAAAACTCTGGTAAAGTTTAAAGCATTGTAAGCTTAACGCATTGTAAGCTGCCCTGAGTCTCCAGAGAAGGGCGGCATATAAATTAAAGCAAAAAAAAAAAAAGTGATGCAATTCAGCTTCTGCACAATCTTGATTTCTGATCTAGAAAGAAGAATGACTGGGCTGCCTCTCCTGCAGCTGCTGCTACTCTTCTGGCTCCTGACGCCAATTATTGCTCAGAAGATGCAAACCCTTTGTGTGTTGCCACAACGTTATAAGATTCCGGAATACTATTACAGACCTGGGGATCTCATTATTGGTGGGAATCTGCACTTGGGGAATTATTGGAACCCTTTCTTAGACTTTAACAAAGACCCGTACCCATTTTCTCTCCCATATTTGTAAGTTTTACCTGGAGGTCAAATATCTAGGTGGTTGTTTGCTGTGTTTGCTTAGAAATATTTCTTCTTGTAATGTTTGAACTTCCCAGTATAGTTCAAATCTTTGTGCTTTTCTCATTAAAGGGTCAGACTGATTAGAATAGAATAACAGAGTTGGAAGGGATCTTGGGGGGTGTTCTAGTCCAACCCCCTGCTTAGGCAGAAAACCCTAAACCACTTCAGTGAAATGGTTGTCTTGTCCAATCTCTTAAAAACTTCCAGTGTTGAAGCATTCACAACTTCTGGAGGCAAGTTGTTCCACTCATTAATTGTCCTCACTGTCAGGAAATTTCTCCTTTGTTCTAAGTTGCTTCTCTCCTTGATTAGTTTCCACCCATTGCTTCTTGTCCTACCCTCAGGTGCTTTGGAGAATAGCTTGAATTAACTGATTAAATAGGCTAGATTTTCAATCTTTCCAGAATTCTTCATCAAGAAGACAATAAACCACGTAAAGAGTAAGGAGGGACAACACTTTAGAAATTTTACTAGCCTAGTGAACAAGTTGACTTAAAATGTTAATTTGGACATAAAGTCGTGACAGAAGACTCAAGGAAAAGAGCAACACTTTTTCCAGTGTGAGGACTGCACAAAATGTAAAATTCAGTTTTGGAATCAGCAGTGCTTATGAATAATGGCCCTCAATAAATATTTGGTGCATTTTCCAGTCTGCTTCAGATCTGAAGAAGCTGCTCCAAGAGAGATCCAAATTGATTAGGTTGCGGGAGGAGAAATTGAGGTAAGGATTGCAGGCACTGAAGCAAAGACAAGAAGGGACAGATGATAGAGGGATATAAAATGGTCCATGATATAGACAGACAGGCATTTCTCCATTGTCAAAAATCCATCAAAGTTTAACAATAAGCATTTTTTTTAAAAAAACGCAATTAATATTTGGGACTTTCTGCTCCAAAGAAAACACCACAAAGAAATAAGACAAGCCAAACTCCACCAGCCCTCACAAGCTTTGTGGCAATGTTTCACAATGTTTCTCTCACTATAGACCCACATCCAACAACTACCAGCAGTTCATGGCCCTGGTGTTTGCAGTGAGAGAGATCAACAAGGATCTGGTTCTCCTCCCCAACGTAACTCTTGGCTTCAACATGTATGACAATGCCAATTGGAAGAGAAGAGTTTCTTTCATCAGTCTCATTCTGCTCTCCACCCGTGACCAAATGGTTCCAGGTTATAAATGTGACCAGCAGGACACACTCTTTTCTGCCATTGGAGGTGACCAGTCCCAATTCTCATTGCTGATGGCCTCCATCTTCAATATCTATAAGGTCCCACAGGTAAGGGGGCTCCTTTAGACATAGTTATGCAGTAGACAAACTACAGAAGTACACACAGAAGTCCAAGATGTAACCATAGAAGGTGGAAAATTAATAGCATATGACAGAATAACAGAGTTGGAAGGGACCTTGGAGGTCTTCTAGTCCAACTCCATGCTTAGTTAGGAAACCCTACACCACTTCAGACAAGTGGTTATCCAATCTCTTCTTAAAAACTTCGAATGTTGGAGCATTCACAACATCTGGAGGCAAGTTGTTCCACTGATTAATTGTTCTGTCAGGAAATTTCTCCTTACTTTTAAGTTGCTTCTCTCCTTGATGAGTTTCTACCCATTACTTCTTATCCTGCTCTCAGGTGCTTTGGAGACTGACATAGTGAATTGATGGTACAGTTGGATTTATTTTTATATTTTATGTGTCAAGATATGTTTTATATAATCTCTAGGAGATACATAATGTCATGTTTCTGTACTTGTCAAGAGGAATTCCTTCCTAATGTAATAGAAGTGTAGGTGAATGCTCTTTGCATTCTCTCAAAATGACCCACTTTGACCGATGAAGTCAATAAACTGCACAATGGGGATCTTTGAAGTCACCATCAATCTTTACTTTTGTCTTTTAAAGAAGATTTTCATTTTTTTCCCCAGCTCAGTATTGGCTTTGAGTACATTCAGGGAGACCAAAGAGTTTATCCTTTCTCCTTCCGGATTAATCCCAAAGAATTTCCTCAATTTGTGGGTTTAGTCCAGATGCTCCTGTATTTCCAGTGGAACTGGGTTGGGTTTATTGCCTCTGAAAGTGAGAGGGGAGAAGAATTCATCTCAACTCTGAGGCCAATGCTCTTGGAGAAGGAGATCTGCTTGGCCTTCACTCAAATGGTGAAAGAGGATGTTTCTAATGCAGAAGTGCGAAAATTCACTTTATATTCGGAAATATGGGCTAATGTTGAAGTTATTCTTTCCTTTGGAGAACCTGACATTGTTCAAAAATTTCTTTGGGCTCTGAACTTTTATTTATTTGGTAGAAGACAATGTCTGAAAGTTTGGATCCTAACTTCATATTGGAAACCACATACAACCCATCTTTATGACAGATGGCGAGCTTTAAAGCACTTGCATGGGTCTCTGCATTTTAGGGACCATAGTGGTGATATCTCAGAATTCAGCAATTTCCTTCTCTCTTTATACCCTTTGAACCCTCAAGGAGATTCGATTCTCCCACTGTGGTGGGAAAGGGTCTTTGGCTGCGAGTTCCACAAACCAGGTCACTATTTTATAAAACGGAAAAAATACTGTACAGGAAAAGAGAATTTAAAAAATCTGCCAAGCTACATGTTTCAAACACGCATGACTGGTGAAAGTTACAATGTCTACAATGCCATTTATGCTCTGGCACATGCTTTAAATGCAATGTATGGATCTGGATCACGACCAACTCTTATGAGGCTTGGAAAGGAGATCTCCAATTTTCAGTCATGGCAGGTAATCTCTGTCTGTATTCAGTCCAACAATCTTAGACAGGAAACTTCCCATATGTAATATTTGAAACATTCATTAAATATATCTATGCTACTATATCAATGTACTTTAAAGGTAAAGGTTCCCCTTGCGTATATGTGCTAGTCGTTCCTGACTCTAGGGAGTGGTGCTCATCTCCGTTTCAAAGCCGAAGAGCCAGCACTGTCCGAAGACATCTCCGTGGTCATGTGGCCCGCATGACTAAACACCAAAGGTGCATGGAATGTTGTTACCTTCCCACCAAAGGTGGTCCCTATTTTTCTACTTGCACTTTTTACCTGCTTTCAAACTGCTAGGTTGGCAGAAGCTGGGACAAGTAATGGGAGCTCACCCCGTTACGCAGCGCTAGGGATTCGAACCTTGAACTGCTGACCTTTCAATCAACAAGGTCAGCGTCTTAACCACTGAGGCACCACGTCCCTTCAATGTACTTTAGAACAAATTAAAACAGCAATAAATGAAAAAATTTAGTATAATGTTCGGTCGAAAATGGGCAGAGGGGGGGAAAAAAGAAGAATTGCAAACCAAATATGTCTGTAAGATCCATAGAGGAAATGTCTTCATATAACATCCTGAAAGGTCTTCAAAGATTGCCTGAGTTTCAGGGACAAGGTGTCACCTAGAACAAGATGACAATCTTGGTTTGTTGGTGCAAGATGCCTCAACAAGGCAGTTGATGTCCTACAGGGCACATTTGCAGAATGATCTCAGTTTCTCTCAGTATATAATCTGAATCCAACCTTTTCCTGGTCTAAAATTCTTCAGACTTTCCTGAATCAAAAGTTCAATTTTGGATCTTTCTGGGCTATGAAGTGATAAACCAGGGCAAGTAATTCCTTCCACATGCTCCCACTTAGTCAGATCCTGTTCATGTATTCTGCTCTCTTTTATCTATCAGATAGACAGTGGAATTCTACACTGTTGTGAAAGAAATGGTTTAATCATTCCTAAAGTGTATTTGCCATTTACATTTGAAAGAAACAAATAGAAATATTATGAAGACAACTATCACAGGAAGAAAACCATACCATAATGGTTTTCATCAGTGTGGCATTAAAATCTTTGTATGTAAATATCATTCTGGTAAACCTGGAGTTGAATAAGCCATGATATAAATGCCCAATCATAAAGAGGAACTTTGTAGTATTGGAGAAGTAACTCAGGATTTAGGGTTAATCCTGATTGCGCAGATCTCCACCAAAGGAACACCTTTATCTTCTCAGACATACACCTATCTCCTAAGATGATGGCCATCACAGAATAACAGAATTGGAGAGTTCTCTTTATGTCACCAGTTTTTAAGCAAAATACAAGTGAAACTCAAAAAATTAGAATATCATGCAAAAGTTCATTTATTTCAGTAATGCAACTTAAAAGGTGAAACTAATATATGAGATAAACTCATTACAAGCAAAGCGAGATAGTTCAAGCCTTGATTTGTCATAATTTTGATGATTATGGTTTACAGCTCATGAAATATTGAACAGTTTCACAATATTCTAAATTTCTGAGATTGTGAATTTGGGGTTTTTGTGAGCTGTAAGCCATAATCATCAAAATTATGACAAATCAAGGCTTGAACTATCTCGCTTTGCATGTAATGAGTCTATCTCATATATTAATTTCACCTTTTAAGTTGCATTACTGAAATAAATAAACTTTTGCATGATATTCTAATTTTTCAAGTTTCACCTGTAATACTTTTATTATTGTTTTTATTTTATTTTCTTATTCATCATTGTGCCATAATGGCAACATTATCATATCTGCCTTCATGTTGTTGGATTTCTAGTTCACCCTGTTTATTCCTCATATTTTGTGCATTGCTGTACAGACATTTTTTTATTGTGTTTGTTTTCTACATAACTTGTTTTGTGTCTGAGATGCCACAAGTTGATAGAAGCTATGATGCCATACATGTGGCATGATGCCTGGTAGCTCAGCAGACTAAAAAAGCATTGTGATTAACACCAGCTGTCTGCAATTACTGTAAGTTCGAATCTTGCCAGGCTCAAGGTTGACTCAACCTTCCATCCTTTCTAAGGTAGGTAAATTGAGGACCCAGTTTGTGGGGGCAATAAGCTGACTTTGTAAAATATACAAAAGTATGAAGGCTATTGCTTAACGCATTGTAAGCCACCCTGAGTCTCCGGAGAAGGGCGGCATATAAATCAAATAATAATAATAATAATAAAAAAACTAATTACACCAATTTCTGAAAGTCACTTTTGTTTCAGCTTCTTCCTTATTTGATGAATGTGAAATTCAATAACAGTGCTGGAGAGGAAATCTCCTTCTCAGAGAAAGGACTGGGATCTGCTCGTTACGACCTTCTTAATTGGGTTTTCCTCCCCAATGGATCATTTGTCCTTCTGAAAGTTGGGCAAATAAATCCTGGGGCTCCTCCAGGTCAGGATGTCACCATTCACTCTGATGCAATTGTCTGGCCTACAAAGGTGAGCTGGAAGATTCGTTCTCTCTTAGGGATGCAGACTATCCTAACTGGAAAACTGAATTATTGAATCAGGAAACATGACAGCCATTTGGTGAAAATCCTGCTTCGCATGTAAGACATTTGAGATCTGATCTGTTTCAGGATTATAACTGTTACATGGCAAACGAAACATTGATTAATGACATAGAGAGCTAAATTCTTCAAGGTTGTCTCAATTTACACACTTTCCTTCTATGTTTCTATTTTGATAACACCCACCCACTCCTCCAATAACTTGTTTTCTTCACACTGTTCAGTTGGATTCTAATGCTTTATTCATTGTTTCATAAAAGCTGTACTTCAATGTTACAGATCTTCCTTTGCATGACAAAATCTGAGCTCCAGTCTCCAGCATGCACATGTGGAACTGAATCTCCCAGGAGCTGTATCTGGTTTCTCCTAGACCCGTGTTGGCAAAACTAGGTGGCACGCCTAGCCATATCAGTGGGCACACGAGCTCACTGATCATTAGCTGATTTTCGGGCCTTCTGGATCCACCAGAAGTTGGGAAACAGGCTGTTTCCTGCCTCCGGAGGGCCTCAGGGGGTGGAGGGAAAGGCCTGTTTTTCTCTCTCACCTAGCTCCAGAGCCTTTCTAGGAGTCTGGGGAGGACAAAAATGGCCTCCCCCCCCCGGAGGTCCTCCAGAGGTGGAAAACAGCCCATTTGCCAACTTCCAGTCCCACCGGAAGATGGCAAAGGGGCCATTTCTGGCATCCGGAGGGCCTCTGGGGGGTGGGGAAGGCTGTTTTCGCCCACCCCAGTCTTCTAGAGAAGCTCTGGAGGCTGGGGACAGCAAAAAATGGGCCTTCCAGTCCCACCGGAAGTTGGCAAATAGGCCATTTTCGGCCTCCGGAGGACCTCCGGGGGGGGGGAGACCGTTTTCACCCTCCCCAGTCTCCTAGAAAGGCTCTGGAGTGGGGGGGGGGTCACATGTGCATGCGCAGGGGCAGGACGGATAGAATTATGGCTGTGGGCACACATGCTTGAGACCCTCCCTCCTGGCATGCGATGGCAAAAAGTTTAGCCATCACTGTCATAGACCCTGGTGAATCATATCTGAAGATGGACACAGAATGTAGAAATGGATAAATGAAGCATGTCCATTGTTTCAGCTGTCTCAAGCATTTCTCTCTCCTTTTTAGAAGGTGCCCTTTGCCAGGTGTGGCATGAAGAGGTGCCAGGCAGGAGAGAGGAGAAGTGTCCCAGAGGGCGAGCAGGTTTGCTGCTATCTATGTACCCCTTGTCCAGATAGTAGCATTTCTGACCTGACAGGTAGACCATATTTCAGCTATAGACTTTCCAGGATCAGTGAACCGTTCTGTAAATCAAAATACTGATTTTTTTTAAAAAAAACCATTGTTCATAGGATTCTTATGCTTCCACATTTCAGAGTACAATTTACAGATTTTCCCTGTAAATCAATTATTTCCCTTTCCAGAATACTTGGTGCACAATTCTGTATCCTTTCCCTTGTTATTAATTTCTCTATAAATCAATCCAGATCAGGAAAAGAGGGCATTCCCTCTTATGATATTCAGTGCCACTTTTTATGTCTTCCTCTGTTGCATTTTTGACATTCTCAGCACACATGACAAGATAATGTACAAAAACACAAACGCACGCAAAAGAGCAAGATTTCTGGCTGATAACAGTCACTCTGACACTGAAAGTTACAATAGTCATGCAAGTGTCCAGCGAACAGTCAGGGTCTTTTTTCCACGATAAATTGAACAGATCAACTGGAGATTAATAGATCCATGTCTCTTACATCTATCCCAGTGGGTCATTCCATCTCTTCCTTGGGGGACTGGCCATAGCAAAAAGAGGACAGTCATGTCACCCTTGAGGATGAGATAATTGTTGTGGTCCATCAGTGGCCTGTGCAGTTAGTAGCTGATTCCGACAGCGAGGAGGCTGGCGTGGTACTGCACCAGCAGCCTGTGCAGTTGGCACTTGAGTCAGACAATGAGGAAGCTGGAGACGATGTGGTGCCAGAGGCAGGGATTCAGCCAGGGCCTTCAGAACCTCCAGAAGCTCCCATAATTGAAGAGGAAGAAGAGGAGGAGTCTCTTCTCAATGCACGAGCTCGCAGAGCTGCGAAAAGGCAGGAGTAGTTCCTCAGGAGGAGGTCTCCTCGAGAGTAAGGCTTGGGACTAATTGGCCACTCCCCTAGCCTATTTAAGGAAGGACAACGACTGATGCAATTTGCAGGAAACAACTTCGTTCACATTCCTTTGCGTATTGATTCGGCTCTTGTTTCTCTCTTATCAGTTTTCCTGCAAATTGCTTCTGGGCATTCTGCCAACCACAGTAAGATTACAGTTATCTGAAATATTGTGCCTCAGAATTGATTTATTATTCTTTGGATTCTTGTCGGCTGTTAATGAAGTTAAATTAACAGCCTTTGTTCAGAAAAGACTGATTTAAATTAGTAAACTAAGGTTTGTACGGACTTTGTGTGTGCTGTATTCTTTGGGGTCTGTAGCTGGGGCAGAACAATAATTCTCATGGCAGATGACTCTTAAATCCTTAAATAAAGACTCTTGATTTCAGATGCAGGTGAATGTGATCCTTGCCCAGAAGACCGATACCCCAACAAGGATAAGGTCCACTGCATTGCCAAGAAGCTGCATTTCCTTGCTTATCAAGACCTCCTGGGATATGTTTTAGCTTCTTTAGCTCTTTTCTGTTCTCTGATCACAGTTGCTATCCTGGTGATTTTCCGTAAGCATCATGACACACCAATTGTCAAGGCCAACAACCGAGATCTCAGCTACATCCTCCTGGTCTCCCTCCTGCTCTGCTTCCTCTGCTCCTTCCTCTTCATTGGAAAACCCAGGAAGCTCACATGTCTCTTTCGACAAACTGCCTTTGCCATTCTCTTTTCCCTTGCGGTTTCCTCTGTGTTGGCAAAAACTGTTATGGTGGTTCTGGCCTTTATGGCTACCAAGCCAGGGAACAGAACAAAGAAACTCTTAGGAAAACCACTGACCATCTTCACTGTCTTAGGTTGTCCCCTTGTCCAAGCAATTCTTTGTGTCACATGGCTGGCAAGTTCTCCTCCATTTCTCAACTTTGACTTCCACTCCTTGGTGGGAGAGGCCATCTTGGAATGTAATGAAGGTTCAGCTTCAATGTTTTACACTGTCCTTGCCTACCTGGGTTTCCTGGCCCTTGTCAGTTTCACTGTGGCATTCATGGCTAGGAAATTGCCTGACAGCTTTAACGAAGCCAAGTTCATTACCTTCAGCATGCTGGTCTTTTGCAGTGTTTGGATCTCCTTCCTCCCTACCTATCTGAGCACCAAAGGGAAGTCCATGGTGGCCGTGGAGATCTTCTCCATCTTGGCCTCTGGGGCTGGTCTCTTGGCTTGCATCTTTTTCCCCAAATGCTACATTATCCTATTTAAACCCAATCTGAATTGTAGAGAGAATATAATGAGGCAAAAGAATTGCTGATTTATGTGGAGATTGGGCACTGTGATTTTGGGATATTTTTCTATTGTATCTAATTTTGAAAATAAACCATGAAATGCAAGAAAATGTTGTCCATTAAATAATTGGAAATAAACATGATGTGACCAATCACAAAGTATTTTAACTGAATGTTAGCAAGCAAAACAGATGTTGACCATTTCAGCAAGACAAAATTCCTAATAGACAGGAAGCAGCAGGTGAAGCTAAGCAGAATCACATCAGATACCTGTACAATTAGCACAGGAGACCCCCAAGGCTGTGTGCTCTCTCCACTTCTCTATGTATACCAATGACTGCATCTCAAAAGATCCCTCTGTTAAACTACTGAAGTTTGCAGATGATACTACAGTGATTGGTCTCATTCGAGACAATGATGAATCGGCATACAGACAGGAGGATGAACAACTAGCCTTGTGGTGCAACAATAACAATCTTGAACTAAATACACTCAAAACTGTAGAAATGATGGTAGATTTTAGGAGAAACCCTCATATACTACCACCTCTTACAATACTAGACAATATAGTATCAACAGTAGAGTCCTTCAAGTTTCTAGGTTCTATCATATCTCAAGACTTAAAATGGACACCTAAAATCAAAGACATCCTCAAAAAAGCACAACAAAGAATGTTCTTTCTGCGCCAACTCAGAAAGCTCAAACTACCCAGACAGTTGCTGATTCAGTTCTACAGAGGAATTATTGAGTCTGTCATGCACCTCTATAACTTTCTGGTTTGGCTCTGCAACCAAACAAGACAGACACAGACTTCAGAGCAGGGGTGAAATACTCCCGGATTGGACCAAATCGCCCGATCTGGTAGCAATTTTGGCCAGTGATTTGGCGATCTGGTAGCAACGGCGGAGCATAGCTCTGCTCACCTGGCCGGGTGACATTACTTCCTGGTTGTAACCAGGAAGTAATGTGTTCTTTTACCTTCTGTGCATGCTAGCTGGTCATCAGACATGTATGTGCCCTAGAACCCGGAAGTTCGGCTTTTCCAGAGCTCAGCATGTGATGTTTCTGCACGACCTCCTAGGGCCTCCTGCTTGAGCAGAGGGTTGGACTAGAAGTCCTCCAATTTATTGATTTTAATCCAAAGAGTCTTTAAAATGTTTTTGGTTGTGTTCACCATCACTATTTTTAATTATATTTGTTTCCATAGATCACTTTGCTAAATTCCTTATTATTATTTTTCATTGAATAGACTGAGTATTTTTTTTTTTAATTCTAGAGTTGAAATGAACTACATTGTTTACTCTCTATTAACTTCTTTGAGAAACATAATTTATTAATATGTAAATTTCCCCTCCTTGTTTTGGATGATACATTCGTGAGCAGTGAAGGGTGTTTGAATCTTTTGACTTGAGCATGTCCATTTCTGGTGTGGTCCTTCATGTAGTCCTGCTCAGGCTGCATTATTGGCCACAGTAAACTTTGTTGTTTTTCCTTGCTGCTCTTTGTAAACAGCCCACTTTCAGGGTTCCCACGGATGCCCTAATTAAATCATGAGCCTCGAGCCAAGCTTCAAAAGAAATCCAGTTATTTATTAGGAGCTTCATGTTGGCACATTCCCAAGTGAAGCCAGCTCTGACCCTACGTAATTTACACCCCAATTATGACCTTGTTTCCCCCCTCCGCCCAGGGTGTGTCATCAATCACATTTGCCAACGGAGCAATTTTGCGGGTTGTAAAGGTCACTCCTCTCTGGCTGCTGTGGGTAACCCTGCAATACAGCCTTGAGAGAGATAAGCATGGAATGTGCATCTGTCTTTGGCTGCCATGCCGTTTCACCAGTTTCCCATCCCCCCCTGGCCTATGGAAACTTGAGATCAGGCCAGGGATGCTTTGCGAGTTGACACCCAGCCAAAGAAGCAACAAGACCTATTTTTACTACCGGTTCTCCGAACTACTCAAAATTTCTGCTACCGTTTCTCCAGAACTGGTCAGAACCTGCTGAAACCCATCTTTGGTCTAGATTGGATATACTAATAATCGGGGGTAAAATGCATTTACCTTTGCTACTGGCTCAGAGATGAGTGCGTGCACATGTGTGTGCATGCCATGCTCCTGTACGGCTCTTCTGTGCATGTGCAGAACCTTCTGCGCATGTGCAGAGGGTCACGGCACAGGGATGATGTCTGGGCGGGGAGCCGAGCAGGATGGCGGCAGCGCTGGGGAAGCGTCGGTGACATGAGCGGCTTTTGCTTCAGCATCGAGAGGGCGAGCACAGCTCACTTTGCTGTTGAAGCCCCTCAAGCCAACATGTGAAGGCTTGCAGCTTGCAGGGAAGGAGATTTGAATCAGTTCGGTTTGGCGAACCAATTCAAATCATCCCTACCGCCTCGGCTGAGGCGGACCGAGGTGGTCGAATTTCTCCCCTGCTGCTAATCCTTCTAGATGGTCTTAGCTTAGTGCTCTGACCTGGTTCCCCAAACACGGCAAACCCTCTGTACTTGAAGCAATGATTCCTTTATTAGGAGCACCACTAGCCCCAGCAAAAAGTTTCTCTTTCACCTCAGGCTAACAAGTCCATCTGGCAGGGAGAATAATAGTTATCTGCCACATCTATTCACCTCTGTCCCCTGCCTTTTATCCCCAGAGCTAGTGTGGGGCTTTCTTAGCAGCGGTGGCTCTTCTGTCCCAAGAACCAGCCCATAGATTCCCGCTGCTCTCCTCTCCTCTGCTTTCTGCACATCCACACATCAGGCACTGGATCCAGTTGTTCCTCCTCTTCCTCTTCAGCCACCTCCAGACCTGGGAGCTGTTGACTCTCCATCTGAGGGCTAACAGACGGCCCAGGTTTCAGCTCTCTCTCTCTCTCTCTCTCTGCCAGTTCCATTCCCTCTTCCCCCTTGGAGCTCTCAGGATGCCTTGATGTTGACTCTGACTCCCACATCTCCTCCTCCTCCAATTCAGCTTCTGGAGGGGCCGGCGGCCGACAGGCCACAACACTTAGTAACAAAAAATACAGGTACCATTTTCCTTGATTAGCTTCTTTTTTCTCTCTCTATCTCCACCTTCCTTTCAGCTAGGTTACCGTTTCTGTGACCCTGTTTTGAGCGACAAGAGCCAGTTCCCCACCTTCTACCAGATCGATCCTCAATATCACCTACAGAATGCAGCCATTGTCCGGCTCCTTCTCTATTTCCAGTGGAACTGGATTGGGATTGTTGTTCCAACCTCCGAGAACATTGAATATTTTCTCCAACTGTTGACCACTACCCTTGCCCAGAATGATATTTGCATACATTTTGTAGAATACATCTTGTACCGAATCTCAATATTCAACGACTTGCAACAAGATCAAATAACTGTGCTTTGGGCTATTTTGAATAGTAACGCTCAGGTTGTGATTATCTCAGGGGATGCAACGACACTGCAAAGTTTAATAATATCCCTCTCCTATTATGAAGAAGAGAACCACACTTCTTGTGGGAAGGTCTGGATCCTGACCACCCAATGGGAATTTTCAGCTATTGGCTATCACTACGAGTGGGGGAAACTAAAATCCGTCCATGGCGCTTTGTCTTTCACAGTCCACACAAACCCGGTGCCAGGATTCAAAGGTTATCTCTGGGCTCTGAATCCACAGGAACCCCACGGAGACGTCTTTCTGCCCAGCTGGTGGGAAATTGTATTTGACTGTCAGGTTTTGAAGGTAGTTCTGTCCTCACCTGATGGCCGAAGGATTTGCACAGGGGAGGAGAACCTGGACACCCTTCCGGCCTCCGTCTTTGATGGAAAGATGACCGGTTTCAGCTACAGCGTCTACAATGCTGCCTATTCTGTGGCACATGCATTACATGCTGCATATACTTTGGAATCAAAATGGGCATTGAAGAGGGGCAGAAAGAAGTCAGACTTTCATCTCTCTAGAAAGTCCTGGCAGGTAACTTTTCAGATCTTCTTAAACAGCTTTAAGATTCATGAACTTTTGCCTGTGATCTCCATTACCTTTTCTTTTCCCTAATGGCTACTTTTCCCCTTTATTTAAATCTCATACAATTTTTTTTTTATTCCATTTCTATTTGAGCATTCATAGTTGGAAAAACAAGAATCATTCCTACACTGTTTTTCCTTAATACTGGTAATTCCAGTTGCTGTAGACATGATTGAGTTTTCCATTGAAATTCCCATTTCTGTATTTCGATAGTTCAATCGACATTATTTTCTTTCTTTCCTTCCTTCCTTCCTTCTTTCCTTCTCTTTCTTTCTTTCTTTCTTTCTTTCTTTCTTTCTTTCTTTCTTTCTTTCTTTCTTTCTTTCTTTCTTTCTTTCTTTCTTTCTTTTTCTTTCTCTCTCCCTTTCTTCTTTCTTTCTTTGTTTCTCTCTTTCTTTTTCTTTCTCTCTCTTCTTTCTTTCTCTTCTCTTTTTCTTCTTTCTTTTTCTTTCTCTTCTTTCCTTTTCTTTCTTTCTCTCTTTCTTTTTTCTTTCTCTTTCTCTTTCTTTTTCTTTTTCTCTTTCTTTCTTTTTTCTTTCTTTCTCTCTTTTTCTTTTTCTCTCTCTCTTCTTTGTTTCTTCTTTCCTTCTTTGTCTCTCTCTTCTTCTTTCTCTCTTTTTTCTTTCTTTTCTCTTTTTTTTCTCTCTCTCTCTCTTCTTTGTTTCTTTCTTTCCTTCCTTCCTTCTTTCTTTCTTTCTCTCTCTCTCTTTCTTTTTCTTTCTCTTCTTTCTTTTTTCTTTCTCTTTTTCTTTCTCTCTTTTCTTTTTCTTTCTTTCCTTCCTTCTTCCTTCCTTCCTTCCTTTTTTTTCTTTCCTCATCTCAGTCAATAACTCTGGGTGGCATACAATTCAAAATATACATTACAATTAAAAATTCAGGAAACATTTTAAAACATGAAAAACAAGAAAAACATCCAGATTAAATAGACTTGGGAATAAGTTAGCAATATAGTCAGAAAATGGGGTACTTAACACATTCACTCCAGATATGAAACATAGTCAGGGTTTTAGGACATTATGAAAGGGTTACAGGGCTGGGATCTTTCTAATTTCTGAAGGGAGGGTATTCCATTGAACAGGGGCCACTGGGGGAAAAAAGCATATCTTCCAGTGTTCCAAAGTTGCT